GTCCAGCAAATTGAGGCATTCTCATGAACTTAGAATGAATCAATTAAAAACACACAGGTGAAATGGTAGAACGAGCAGCTTAGAGAGGAATCAAAGTATTTGCTTTGAGAGACGAGTCGTCTATTTGTTTCCATAGCACAATACAGTTAGGCAAGAAGCAAGGCAACTGGCTCATCCTTTTCTGTGGGCTCCCTCTAGCTTGTAGATAGTTTGAAGATAATAGTTTGTTTTAAAAATACTCAGTGTTAAATCTTCCCATAATCCCATAATCTATATTTGGCAAGTTTAGAGTGAGACAAAACAAAAAGAACCAATAAAATTCCAATAACTGGACTGGGGGAAAAGGAACGTGTTGGTGTTAAGCCACAGAAATCTTTTGCACTTACTATGTATCCTGGTGCACAGATACAAGCTCCAGTGATGCCATCACAGTAGGCTCCATTAGCACAAACACACAGCTCTCTGCAGCCCTCACCGTAGTAACCTGGTGGGCAGGTCTCGTCACAGTAAAGCCCAGTCCATCCCGCAGCACAGGTGCACTCTCCTGACAGAGGGTGACAGCTGAAAGAGCAGGAAGATTAGAAGGTTTTTTTGCAGTGTGTATATTGTTTTGTAGTTCTCCCATTTTGACCACCCTCGACACAAAGTTACTTTTATAGTAGGTTTAGTGGGAAAAGCAGAAATATGTGAAACAAAATATCAACTCCACTTTAACTAGATACAGTAATTCAAACATTCTATTCTACTGAAGTGTTGTACAGTAAGAAAGCCTGAGCAATTATCCAGTACCTGAGTGTGTTTGTGTGTATGCAGGGGCAGTATTTGTCACAGATGAGTCCATACAGGCCAGTGGGACAGAAACGATCCTGACAGCTAGGCCCCTTGAAGCCTTCGTTACAAAGGCAGGCGCCGTTGATGTGGTAGCATTTGGCTCTGTTCTGGCAGTCACACTTGTGAGCACACTGTGGCCCATAAGTGCCAACTGGGCATTCATCCTGGCATCTGGGTTGGTTTAAAAAACACGGAGGAGTTATTTTCCAACATTCTAAGCCTCTCTTCTAAAGGTGCCTGGGATTTTTCTTTTTACAAGTTAGAGTGAAAGAAACAGTTATTACTGCAGCAGTTGGGACTTCTATTACTTCTAATCAACTTTGTTACCTGGAAAGACACAATTCAGAGATAATAAATCGAGTTGGAATACAATCCTTGAGTAAACACCCCGTTTTTCTGCAAAATGTTGAGCTGGTATTTGGGAAAAGGTAACCATAGCTGTTTAGACAACTTCCCCTTGGTTCCTGGTAGGAAAATAACCTGGGACCAGAATAAGAGCCAAAATATTTTCAGTGTAATTCTGCAAAGAAAGCTAGTTTTCTATTGCACTGAATTTCATCACAAATCATTATTTCCATTATTATTAATCTGAGTCGTGTATTGTTAAATTATGTGCTCTCTGTACATTTTGAAAAAAAATAATTGTCTAAAGATAACACATTAGAGCACACGGATAAGAGACTGCAACTGTTCTGCACTTTAAATACAACGCACTAGACCACAGTTTTGAAGAAAAACACTGGATTGTCGACCCTTTGAACTATTTTTATTCTGCCTCACTCAGCAAACCTCCACAATAACAAATTAGTTTAAAAACTTCACAAAAACCAAAACACAAAGGTCTAGAATGACCAAATTTGTATCTCTACTTTTTAGCCAACAGATCGCTGTATGACTCAGAATGGATCGAATCAAGCTTGTTAGACGGCCCATGGCTGAACCTAAAACAAGCTCTCTGTGGACAAGTAAAGATCTCTGATTTGAAGTCCAGCCCACAAAAATGATTTACCCCAGTAAACTGAACTCAAATGTCTACATGGGCAACAAAATATTTAAAATATCTCTACCCCTAAATGGTTATCAAACACATATAAAATGTGTAAAATTGGTGATTCCATTTCCCATAAAACTGCAAAACGGGAGCAAGATCTTTCCATCAACCCATATCAAAACGTCTGATCCTAATACAGCAACTTACAACATGCAGAACTCTCCATAGAACACAATATACAGGACAAAGGATGTTCCAAATGGGCCTCACACACTCAGACATATGCACACACTGCAAACACCCACTGAAAACTATGTGCACGCTGTATGGTCTTGTACGCCTACTCAGAGGGCCTGTCGGAGGATATGTGAAGACCTTTCCACACGGTTTAGTTGCCACACCTAAACTGTTCATGTTAGGTGACATAAGCACATAAATGGAAGCACATAAATCAAACATACTGCCTCACGCATCGCTAAAAAAATTATCTTCAAGAACTGGAAGTCATAACTTTGTGCATAACTCCGGTTGGCAGGGCCATTCATGTGCTACCTCTACCACACCTTACTTGAGAGCTCACTAGTCTGCGTACACGGAAGAATCCATTACAGAGAGAGTGCGAAGAAGAACAAAAAGGGAGTGACACACCGGTTGATCTGATATCCTCGTGTTGGTGTTGTTCCCAGATCATCATACTAAATGTTGTTCCAGGATCAACATTGCAAGTGACCAATCAGAATGTTGTGACGTCATAGTTTTGCGACTTCGGGAAAAACTGGCGTAAAACAAAAAACTGTACTTAAGCTGCGTGAAACCGCCTCTGTCCGCCGATCAACAGACCCTGACCCTGACCCTAACCTTTTAATAAACAGTAAGCAGAATTGATATTGTCCTTGCAACATTGGAATTTCATAAATGCACGAATGGCTTGGCGCGCAAAGGAATAACGTCACAACAATGTGATTGGTCACTTGCAATGTTGAACCTGGAACAACATTTTCATGATGGTCTGGGAACAACACCAACACGAGGATATCAGATCATCCGTGACACACCAGTCATGAGATAGGAGGCGCCACCATGCAGCAATACACTGCATTACAACGGCAGCTGTTACACTACGCCAGGCTTCCCCAACTCAAGGCCTCGAGGGCCGGTGTCCTGCAGGTTTTAGATTTCACCCTGGGTCATCACACCTGAATCAAGTGATCAGTTCATTACCAGGCCTCTGGAGAACTTCAAGACATGTTGAGGAGGTCATTTAGCCATTTAAATCAGCTGTGTTGGATCACGGACACATCTAATAACTGCAGGACACCGGCCCTCGAGGCCTGGAGTTGGGGACCCCTGCACTACGCAGTGACCCACCTCTCTTTTTTAATTACACTACAGCTGTATCATCATATATCACCATACACAACAACGATGGGCGACCTTCTAAATTCCTTGTTAATACACGTGGAGCTCCTGGTCTTCTGGCCAGCACTAAAGCCTCCAGTTCATCTCAGGCTGTGGCAGCACTCGAGGAGGAACAATATGAAAGTAACTACGGTGCAAAATGTGAGAACCTGAAAACTAAAGTGTGAAAATGTATAGGAAAAAAGATTAAGCTTCACACACTTGTGTTTATCATTTTTACATATTTACACAAATATATGGAGAGCTGCAAAACTTGTAATTCAATCATTTTAAATTTTTTTTAATACTCACAAGCACCACTCTGTGATTGCAACCTTTTAAATTAGTGAATACAACTGTTCACTTGCACTGATGACCAGTGTTGGGAAGGTTACTTTTAAAATGTATTCCATTACAGATTACAGATTACATGCCCCAAAATGTATTCTGTAACATATTCCGTTACGTTACTCGATGAGAGTAACGTATTCTGAATACTTTGGATTACTTAATATATTATCATGCTGTTTACAACTACGTGAATGTACTATTGCTGTGTGATTTATTACTGTTACTGACGGTCCGCGACTCCGAACCGTAGTAAAGGACCTCTGGCTAGTACGTCGGGTTCGTGTTGAGCTCGTAGCCGAAAACTAGCTTTACTTTGTTGTCTGGGTCAACTTTGAGACAGAGAGAGGCGTTGAAAGACTGCTCCAACGGAGCTTATTGTTTCAGAGGAAAACACGAACACGGTGTACAGTTGAGTCTTAATAGCTTACTTACAGCTGGGCTCATCAGGTACTCTTCTTGGCTGCAGTGGTTATTATTATATTTACATGCTTCCAGCTAGAGCAGGGCGATATGACCAAAAATATTCATCACGATATACATTTGAAAATTTGCAATAACGATATAATTGACGATATAATTGACACGAGACAAAATACTTTACAACTCCTCAACTTTATTAGTGCAAAAAAACCCCATCAATGTATTTTCACTTAAACAAGCAGCTGTTTTTTATGTGCATTAAAGTTATATAAAAATGTAACAGTGCAAATTCCTCGCTGCCAGTTTAACCAAAAGGCATTTCCAGTGGAAACTGGCCGACATATCCTCAGCATAACCATGTATAATATCCACAAAACTTAAAAAGAGGTTATACACACACAATACGGTAATATCATGTTGAGGTGCAGTACGTATCACTCCGCGAGGCTCCGCCTACAATAGCCGTAATGCTCCGACAATCCATCGAGCGCTGCGGCTTCGCAGCTTAGCAAAGTTGTAGTAAAACATTTGACAGATTTTCGAGCACCGTGCACATAAAACCGTTTCGAGGTCAGTAAACACAACCAGAGTTCATACATAAGGCACACGGGATTATAAGGGGCTCTGTCGAGTTTCAGAAAAATCAAAGGATTGATTTTAAGTGTGCCGTATTTTCCAAACAACACGGTAATAACGACGGCCCGCTAGCATGCGCTACCAAAAATTGTGCTTTGTTGTGTATCTGACGGACCAAACCGAAACCAGTTCCACACCAGTGAAGCTGCAGCATTTTTACAAACCAGTTCTGGTTCATCCGTTTCATTCTACGATCCACTTTCGCTCTTCTCATTCACCGTCGCTGCCTTGTGTGTATGTAAACAAAGGCACTGCACATGCGCGTTTTACCCATATTCTATCGCCATATTTCATTTTCCTATCGTTGCCCAACATTACACCGGTATTACCGTGAACGGTATGATATAGCCCAGCCCTACTTCCAGCTCCCGTTTTTGCTCGATGACAACTCGTACTTTTCCTTTTTCTCCCTCCTCGCGCTCACAGACACATAACGGGTATGGCAGTCCATTCTCCCTGCAGCACGGACTACACTGCCCATGATGCTACATTCTTTAGAGCTATACCTGTAGCATTAGTCATTACAAGAAGTGTTTGTGAACTAAAAATCAAGAATGTGGGATACTGTTTGTCCATGCGCGGACGGGGTGGGGGCGAACATTTTTCTTGTAAAACAAAGGGGGGCCCAACAAAAACAGTTTGGGAACCACTGCTTTAAACAAACAAAACGCCAGCACTCACTGAGTATTTACTTTTAAGCGACATGAATACGTTTCAGCTATAGCTGTCATCAGTGCAAGTGAAGAGTTGTATTCCGTGATTTGAAGAGCCCAGCGCTGCTCCCGACAGGGGAACCAACCCTGCAGGGAGACCTACCTCGGCACCTGTGCAGGTGAAGCCAAAGGGAAGATTTGCTTCATCATATTTTCTAGTCTTTGTCTTAGAATGAAGTTGGTTTGGAAACATATTCAGCGATGTTTCATCTCCTACTTTGCATTTCTGTGGGTGCCCTGTGCTGGCAGTGTCCAAGTGTTTTGTTTTTTGTTTTTTCCCCCCCTTTTCATACCGCGCCCCCCCTGCAATTGCTCTGCGCCCCCCTAGGGGGCGGGCCCCATACTTTGGGAAGGCCTGGTTTAAAGGATGGATAAGGGTATAAGATATAGAGTTAAGCACACAGCTTTTTGTATAATATCAAAATGGATCAAGTCGAAAACGCTGTCTCAGATGTAATCACTACAACTCTGCTTTATAGTCTCAACTTTCAATAAATGATTACTGTATGTGATTATGGCAGGGGAAACTCTTCTTATGATTCTAAAAGCCTTTCACAAGGTCTATAAAAGTATGTCTGCTTTTATAAACCTTGAGAAAGGAAGTGAACTCCAGTTGCTCTTAATAGTTAACTTCCATGTTTCTCACGTTCTTCAGTGTGTAA